GTTTTCCAGCAGGTTTCAGTGCCACATTTCAAGCCTATACTACGTTCAAGCACTGTGTGATTCCTCAGGATTAAAAGTGCTGCCTAAGATTACCAGCCTGTTCCCACATCCATGGTAGCCAGTCAAGTAATTTTCTTTGACCACGCTTGCTCCTGTTCCCTGATCTTGGAAATCAGACAGAGTGTATAGAAACACTATGAACAGCAACTGCAGAGCTAGTTCTCATTTCCTAGACTGGCTTCTTCATAAATAACCTGAAATCAGATATCACTTTAAAAAGTGACTTTTTTTCTCTTTCAAACGTCTGGACAGAGCGAGGGGAAGGGGTTGCTGTGCCCGAACTCCTCTAGCAATAACCAGGATGTTATCCCTAGAGGAGCTGTAGGAAGCTGCTCACTGAGCTTTCGTGAAGGTTTGCTCACCACCTCAAGAGCATTGTTCCGCCACTGACTGCATGTAGTATCTGTGTACCTTCTTCTCCTGTCCTGTGATTTTAAATCGCTGAAGAGATGGAGCTGTTTCTTGATGTGCTCTTGTATTTTTACAGGATGCCAGTAGGGGGCAAAGAGTACTTTAGGCTTGATGTGAGAAATCTCACAGGTTGCCCTGCACAGCAGAAAAAGCGCGTGAGTTAGGGGGAAACACAAAAATGAATGTGAATTTGGGAAAAAGAGAAATCCCAGGGCCACTTTCTTAGCTCTTTCTCCTGTCTTGTGAGCACAGGTTTCCATGTGACACAGTAAAGTGCCGTGAATCATGGTGGTGGTACCCTGCTGCTCTCACAGCATAGTTGGACCCAAGGGGCTCTCAGCCTCAAAGAAGCAGATCTGTCCTCAGTGGGACAGATACATCCCTACCTGGCTGAGGTGCTGACAGTCCCTGGCATGCCTGGAAAAGGAAAACATGCTGGTTATGAGCTGTTACACTGATCCAGCTTTCACTTCTTCACCAGCTTTCCCTCTGTCTTCCTGAATGGCCTGATTAACATGGGCTACAAGGAAAGGCCTTCCATCAGTATCACATGGGACCTCACGGCAGCTGAATATTTCCCATTTCTTTACCAGGAAAGCCTAAATACAGGAGTAAATAACATTTTTGTCTCTAGTCTGGGGAAATGGAATTAGCTGTATTATAAACAATCTTTAAAAGCCTTGTAATTCGAATAACCCAAGAAATGAAGACTCAGAAATACTGATCTTATTTAGATCTTTTCCCTGAGCTGAATAAAACATGATTTACATCAGCGTTTCAGATGGTCTCTAACATACCTTAGTAAAGCAAACTTTATTCTTACTTCAGTTTTGAATTGTATGTCCAGCTGATTTATCAGTTCATTATAATAGGCTTCTCTTCTACACAAGCAAATCCTAGGTGTCCAAGAAGATTGTTTATTTCTCTACTCCAGAAACAGAAATAGCTTAACATTTTGTAAAATTGCAGGCATGTGTCACAGGAGCTGATGTAAAACCAAAAGAAAAAAAAAACAAAACCAACCAACCCAAATCAGGGATAAAATTGGAATTGAATTGTAAATAAGCTTCGTGTTCTTTTTCCTGAGAGACTTGTTTTTATAAAACTTTACAGCAGTCAGAGGTTTTGTCAGTTCTCTCACCCACAAAGGGAATGATGTTCCTCTGAGATACCAGTTGCTACTTTTTAGATGGAGCTATGCAAAGCATCTGTGCTACTCTCTAAGGCAAAGACTTTCACAGAATTTCGTAACACTTTTTCTATCCCTTCTATTAAACAGTGGGGTAAATGAGCAGGGACTTGCTACACAGCAGTGAAAGGCCATCGAATTCAGAATCCAGAGGATTATAATCAAGAGATGACTTTTGTAACTTTACATGCCTGACAACTGATATACAGTACAATTCATCCATGTATTCATCCATGTCACAAAAATATCCTTACATGTGGTTGAAAAGCAATGGAAGGAGAATATGGAGTGGGAGGAAAAGATAGGCAGGGAGGACACACTGTTCAAGGAGAAGCTGCTTGAAAAGGAAAATGTCCTTGTCTTATTTCTACTTGATAATGAGAACAGAAAACTATAATGAAATCAAACTTCAGAGAGTTGCACGTAAGAAAAATTATGCTACCTGAAAAAAAAAAACCCAATCTGATAAGGGAGGGGGTAGAAACACTGCCAGTAGATCTCACCAAAGATATAACTAGCTAGCTATTCATTATCAGATGTTAGAGAGGGAAGAAATCTGCTCACACTTTTTAGCCTTCCAAGGCTATAAATAGCACTGAACAAATGAGAGAAAATTAAGCTTGCATTAGGGATTCTGTGAAGAACACTTACCTAGGTTCTTGTCTGATCCTGAGTGATCAGGGTACACTGCCTCTCTTGTGAGAAGATGGGTGAATGAAGAAGCAGCAAGAAGAAATGAGACACCTCATAGTTTGGAGTAACAGGGAGCAAGGGTATATCCTCAGTAACTGTCAGCTGCCCTCCTGAGGAGTCTTCTCCACAAGAGAACATTGTACACTCCTCATGAAGCACCTCTCTCTACTGTTTGCTCCTTTTGAGTAGATGCTAATTTTTGCTTCCCCAAACTCCTTTCCCACCAGGTGGCATATGGCAGCACATACTCTGCCTTCCTTTTTTGAGGATTCCTATTAAGGGAACGTGCAACATCGAAGAGTCCCGCTGCACAGAAATGCTTGAAGGGCCTTCAGCTCCAACAGAAGAAACGAGAGAAAGTGCCTTGTTACGGCTGTTGCATTCACCCAAACTCATGTTCTTACCCTTGCCACTTCAAATATCAGCCAGACCTAAACATAAGCCAAAGCAAAGATCTGTTCAGCAGGACACAGGTGTCCTGGGTGCAGCTTAAACCATGACAACAGGTATGTAGAAGAATCTTTGCTGTCTGCAGTTAACAAGATTTCTTACTCCCCCTCATGTGGAGTACCTACTGTGCAGATGATGCTCTGGAGTGAGGGTCGCAACATTGTTGTCCTCCTTGCCAAAGCTCAAGATGATGACTGTCCTCATCTAGCCCTGTTTCTCATTCCTAGGGTTACATTTTTGTGTACAATTACCCTGATAGTCCAAGCTATCCCTGGTACTCAGGACTCCTCTACCTCAGTTTGTGACTAGTCAGCTGTGAGGTATGCAAACTATGTGAAAGCTGCTGCAACTTATAACTCTGCCTGGGGCCAGTGGCACCTTCTATATTCACTGTTTGTTCTTGTGTCAGTAATTAGCTGATTGCCCCATCTAAAATGTTCCCTTTATGATCCCTGGCACTATAATACACTATAATTCAACTATGGCACACAGTACCAGCTAAATCCATGCTATGTGCTCTCATACTTACTAGCTTTCTATAGACTCTTTGATAACACAGATGACAAATCTCTTGATGGGGGCTTCTGCACAGGTGTGGTGTGAGACCCCATTCCCACTCCTGCCCTCTCACTGGTGTTCTGGAGCCACTCACTTGCAAGTGTTACGAAATACACAAACAGTTCCTGACATTGGACATTAATCTATGAGATTTTTAAAGTCACAGTTTTGGCATTTATTGGGAATAAATAACTGGAAAAGTAGCACATGTAGATGTCTCTAGTTCTTAAAATATCCATGGTAGGAGTTTTCTGTACCCTAAAGACTTGATGAGTAGGCTGTCTAGGTTATACTGGTTGCCATCTGGCTTTCAGTCCCACTCTTTGTTTTCAGTCTCCAGCCCATTATGTCTTTAGTAAATAATCAAACATATTTTGTTCTATTCAATTTTCTTGTTGAATTCTTGATTAAGAGCCAAATGTTTATTTAAACAGGTGATAACTTTGTTGCTTACTTGGTGCAACTGGAACATAGTTTTAGGTCACATCTACATGACAAATGTAGTCATGTCAAACAGTCTGAACACACAGCAACAAGATAAAGTGTTTCTGTAGGGTTCCAGACTAAAAAGAGCTAAGCTTTATCCTCCCAGTTCAGGGGCTGGAGTAGTAGGGACAACTGTGGTCATAAAGTAGAACTGGGGAGCGTAGGAGTGATAATAAAAGGGAACTGGAGTGGGAAGAAGGGGAGGAGGAATATGGAGCTGGAAAGGGTGCAAATACAACTCTCAATAGGCACAGCCTCTTCCAAAAATATTTTGAACCCCAACCTCATTACAAGTCTCTGCAAATATTAAGATAGGCTTGCCTAGTCCACTTCATGGCCCTGTAGTGAAGCTCTACCTTTGCCCTTACCAAACCACATCAATCAATCAAATCTAAATCCACAGCATTTTTTATCCACAGATAAAAAATGGCATAGCTGAACATGTGCAAAAGCTTGAACTTTTTCACTGAAGAAAGTGAAGGACCACTGATTTGGAGAAAACTCCTGGAACAAACTCACCAACAAAGTTTTCAAGCTGACAAGCAGGTATTCTTTATTGCGGTGCTGGGAGACATGGGGGATAGCTCATCCTAACATGTATCACCATATTGCTGCACAAGCCGTCCTTATAGAGTCCCTGGGCATGCATTCATATTCATGAGGCTACGTATGAATTACATCATTTTCCAGAAAGTTTCCCACATATGTACACAAATGTGGCAGTGGTCTCTGAGGGTCGTTTACTCCTTCCAACAATCTTCATCCCTTCTGGCAGCCTTTGAAGCACCAGCTTCATTAACATTACGGACATAGCAATCATCCTGTCTTTCTACTTATCAGTTAGTTTAACTGCACCTATCCTGGACCTCTGCTGGTCCCAGATACTCCCCATCCCCAGGTCCTGTTTTTCTATTTTCTTACACTTTTTGTACTAAGGTTGTAAGGACCTAAAACTATGTTAACTGCAATGGTTTCTCTTCAAGCACCTCAGTTATTTTCACTACAAAGCCATCAAGCTTTATGTTACTTAGAACTGATTCAGTCTATGCTTTTGTGCCTCCTTGTCTCAAATCCCCCCTTTTTCTGTTATTTTGCAAATTCCTTTGCAACATTTTATATACTACCATTACCATCTAGAGTCTTTTTGAAATAATTTCCTGTTTCTACTTGATGCTTGTTTTCATTTCTTTTCCAATCTTCATAATTTATCATAGATTGTTTACAATACCAGAAGGAACATTGTATCATACCACAAGTAATCAATATTAAAGCAATTAATATTAATATTCCTGCAACCAGTTGCATCAGACAGGAGAGATCAGGTAACCATGAAGTTAACTTTTTCCGTATGTCTTCAAACACCCAGGAGGTACCATCCTTGGCCATTTCATGAAATATCTTAGTTGTTTCCAAATTTCCTCCATATCTGTCTCAATTCTGCCACTTAGATCTATGTAGGAACAGCATCTTTGATTATGGAACAAACCCCTCCTTGTGAAGCCAATAACATGTCTAGAGCCATTTGGTTTTGTAATACCACTTTAGATAGGCTAGTTATCTCTTTTTGTTCTGCTTGGATTTTATCAATAGTTTTACTTTCTATTTCCTCTATGGTTGCTGAGATATTTACGATTGCCTTCTCTAATTCACTCTACTCCCAAAGATGGAATTAGCCCTCTTACAAAACTATGAAATGCGGTGTTCTGTTCAGCAATAGAGTTAAACCCTCGCTTAACCCATTTAGGAAAACTTCTTACCCAGGTTCCAGAAGGATACATGTCAATAATAGTAAGATTGGGCATCACGGTACCTAAGGTGCATGCCCCCTTCCAGTTGGGGGGTAGAGTCTTATAAACATTTTCTCCACATAACCAATACCATCCTTTCCCTTCAGGAATGGGCCACCAATGAACTATGATACCATCTGCATTAATAGTGTAATTATAATTTGAATAGTGACCTACACCTGTGGCATTTAAACAATCATAATCTCATACTCTGGTTCCTGCTGTACTACATCTTTGTACACAGGTATAATATTCTTTACTTGGATTAGGATTAACTATCCCAAATCTTAACCTTTCCCTCAGACTTAGATCGCTACTGTTCACCCTCAAATTTGTGCATGAGATAGTGTTGGAAATTGGAACGCCAATTAATGAAAGGTCTGGATTTTCTCCTGATTTAGGCAACTGTGCACACACCCAATAGTCACTACGATTAACAACTTTATTCTGCATTAATTTCAGGCATAAATTTTGGTCCCAAGCTTGTACACCAGTTATCGTATAAATCCAAATTATGACTGATGCGATTTCATATGTAAGGGTCCTGAAGGTTCGATCCACCATGTCTTCTCTGGCTCTGGTGCTTTATTCTTGAATGATGTATCCAAGCAGGTTGTTCCTTTATCTTCACTGCTGTAGAGGTGGTCAATATTATCTGGTACAGTCTGCTCCACTTCTCCTGTAGAGGATCTCCTGAAAAATTCTTAACAAAAACCCAGTCTCCAGATCTGAAAGGGTGAGTGGGATAATCCATGCCTCTCGCTCTTGTCCCTAATATTCTCTTATTTATTTCTTCTAATTTTCCCAGATTGACCAGAAACTCTGGAGATAGCTTTCTCCCACTTCCTGAAGACTTTCTCCTTTAAACTGGGACTGATATGGTCTTCCATATAAAATTTTCTATGGGCTAGCCTCTTCTTTCGATCAAGGTTTGGTTTGAATTCTTAAGAGCCACTGGTAAGGCTTGGTACCAATATAAATTAGTTTCCTGACATATTTTACTAATCTGTTGTTTGACCAGATGGCTCATCTTTTCTACTTGCCCACTGGCCTAAGGCCTGTAAGGAACATGTAGTTGCCAATCAATTTCTAATTTTTTGCTAATTTCTTGTAACAATTTTGCACTAAAGTGTGAGCCTCAGTCGGAAGAAATTGCCACTGGTACTCCAAAACAAGGTATTATACTGTTTAACCATGTTCCAATTACTTGTCTTGCATTATATATTCTACAAGGGAATGCTTCTGGCCACCCTGAAAAAGTATCCGTTAACACCACCAAATATCGATAACCTCCTTTTCTCGGTAATTCAGAAAAATTTATTTGCCACTGCTGTCCCAGATAACGTCCTCTACCAATTGTCCCAGTTTGATTTCTACTTTCAATTTCAGGATTATTCTTGAGAATTGTCACTAATTGAACTATGGTATATAGATTCCTTCCTACAATTTGTTTGTCTAAGTATTTAGACAAAGAGTTGTTACCCCAATGAGTTTTATTATGTTCCTCCTGAACTAATTTCCAGAGCTGGTTATAGGGAGTTGCAATTCACCCATCAGGTACCTTAACCCAACCCTGTTTGTTTTCCTGTCCTTTCAGATCTTCAATCAACTTTCTATCTTCTTTTGAATATCTAGGTTTAGATTTCTCAATTGTTAGCTTGACATCAGGGGTTAAGGACATCATTTCAGATTGTTCAGCTGCTTGTTTGGCTTCAAAATTCGCCAAATTATTTCCAGTTTCCTGATTAGAGTCACCTTGATGATGCCCTTTACAATACATAATAGCTACTTCCTCAGGTAGCTGAACAGCTTCCAGTAGTTGTAGAATTTCTGTAGCATGTTTAATCTGTTTCACCTGTGTGTTCAAAAGTCCTTGTTCTTTCCAGATGGCACCATGTGCATGGACCAAACCAAATGCATATTTAGAATCAGTCCAAATATTTATCCTTTTGTCTTTAGCCAATTCTCATTCAGCATGTTCCAGAGGTTTTGCTTTCAAATCTGGTTGGCTCGAATATACAGTGGCCAAGCAGTTGTGTGTTAGTAGTTCTGTCGGTTGTTCCGGCAAAAAAGATGCTGTATCCACAACATTAGTGACCACAATTTCTGTATCATCTTGTTCTACAAGGGTGGCCTGGTATCTTAAAAAACAAGGAGATAACCAGTGCGCTACTTTCTATTCCAGGATGGCTAATACAACATGGGACACTAGTACAGTAATCTTCTGCCCCAAGGTAAATATGCGAGCCTCTTCAGTATTCCTGACAACTGTCGCCACAGCCCTTAGGCATCCAGGCCATCCTTTGCTCGCTCCATCCAGCTGTTTTGAAAAATACACCACTGCCCTCTTATAGGGTCCTAGTTTCTGAGCAAGGACCCCCAAAGCTATTCCCTGTTCTTCATAGGAATAGATCTAAAAGGATTTAGTCACATCCTGAAGTCACAGAGCCGCAGCTCTCATTAGCTTTGTTTTTAAATTTCTAAAAGCCCCTCTCTGCTGAATCAGCCCATTCCAAAGAGGGAGTATTTCCTTTTAACAGTATTTCCTTTTCATATAGGGGTCTTACCAGAACACCATAATCATGCATCCAAAGTCTGCATCATCCAGTCATCTCCAGTAACGTCCAGAGCTCCCTGATGGTCGACAGTTGTGGAGTTTGACAAATAGCTTCTTTTCTAGTGGTTCCAAGTTCTCTCTGTCCTCCTGTTATTTCATATCCTATCTAGGAAACTTGGGTTTGAATTAGTTGGGCCTTTTGTTTGGATACCCGATAACCATTCATCCCCAGAAAATCCAATAATCCCACCATTCACTGGACACATTCTTCCTTTGTTTCTGTGACAATTAATAGGTCATTCACATATTGTAACAGAGTCCCTGTCTGAGTGGGTGGTTTCCATGATTCTAGTTCCCGTGCTGATTTCCAAAAATTATTGGACTGCTTTTAAACCCTTGAGGTAATACCGTCCAAGTCAGTTGGGTTTTCCTTCCTGTGTCAGGATTTTCCCATTCAAAAGCAAATAAGTTCTGGGTTATTTTGGCCAATGGTAAGCAAAAGAAAGAGTCCTTTAAATCCAAGACAGCAAACCATTTCTGATTATTATTCAATTTAGTCAACAAGGCATACGGATTAGCTACTACTGGATGAATATCCTCTGCAGATTTGTTGGTTGCTCTGAGATCTTGAACCAATCTGCAACTTTATTTCTTTTCTGGCAAGATAAGAGTATTATATTCCAATTCATATTCAATTAATAATCTGTATTTTAAAATTTATCAATGATCATTTCTTCTTTTTATTTTTTTTTAATTCCCTCTGATCCTCCAATTTTAAGGGATATTATCTTATACTAGTTGGGCAGGCACCCCCTTTTTATGTCTACTTTAACAGGCAAAGCATTTTTCGCCTTACCTGGAACTTCAGATGCCCATACTCCCAGATATACCTGATTAAGGATTTCTTCTATTTCAGGGAGGTCCTCCTGTTCACTTTTCTGTTGAATTAAAGATAAACCCAGAACTGCAATTAATTGATTGGTTTTAACTCTTAAAAACTCTTTTGCCTTCTTTAAATGTTGCTTCTCACCCTAATAAAGATTTTGAAGAATTTGGCGTGCATAAAAATTTATGCATTCATATTTGTTTTCCGAATTTGTACTTTAAGGGTTTCAGAAAGAATGCCTCTTTTTTTCTTTTTCTTTTTTTCTTTTTGTTTTTCTTGGTGGCCAGCAGCTCTCACGTCTGTAACAAATTCTTTTCCCTCTGATTTAACACTGAATAAGTTGCCCCTATATCCACTAAAAATTCCATTGCTCCTGTATCAACTAAAATTCCACTTTATTCCCTCTAGTCCCTAGTTTTAATTTAACCAGTGGATCTGCTACGGTAGATTCCCCAGGTCCCTGTCAGTCTAGTTCCAATTCAGCCAACGGAGCCACCCCATGGCACTGCCCCCCACCCAGGGCAGTCTCACTTCCAATGTCCAAACTCCCCACAGCACACGTACACAGATCCTGTCCCATAGGAGAAGAACCCACTCCCCCACCTCTGCCCGACATCCCTCCACCTCTGCCTCCCCAGCACTCATCCCATGCTCAAACACAGGAGCTGCCAGAGCTCCCCTCCTTTCCCCCTTGGTTTTCCTTAACTTTAAACATCTTTCCCCAGTATCACAGTCTGAACAACATCTCTCCAGCTTAGTTTTCAGTTTTTCCCTGTCCTTTTCCAAAGCCAAAATTAAGGGATCTGGTGGAGCTATAAATTTCGCATTCTGTCTGTCACTCCGGGTGGTTTCTGAAAGTGAAAAACATATCTGCATACATTACTTCATCCCATTTTCCTTGCCACCTCAAAAACAACATTAATTGTAAGAATGTATCATAGTTCAAAGTCCCATTTTTTGGCCATTTCTCCTGATCCTCCAGAGTATAGAATGGCCACCATTGGTTACAATATTTCACCAAAGTTTTCTTATTTACTGAGCCTCCAGGAAACCCTCCCAGTTCTTTCCAATGTGCTAAAATGCACCCTAAAGGACTCTTTCAAGATCTCTCCAATCTGCTGATTTCCCATTATCAATCTCACATGCACACAAACACACAGGATCCCACAAACACACTCCACACAGTTACAACACTTGAGACAGAGACTAAAATTCTATCAAATGAACAACAGTTAATAACTCAGTTATAACATCCTATCACCAATACCAAAGTCACAAGACCAAAATCGTCACTATAACAAGCCCCAAGATAAGTCAAATACCAGTAAAATCCAAAGTCATTTCTACAAGACACCCACCGCGTCTTGCAGGACCCAAACCACAAGATGCCACTGCTTCTTGTGGGTGTATACCAAACAGATGCTAACAGCCAGGTATACGTCTTTATCCACGAGATTTCCTATCTCAATTTATGGAAGGCTTCAAAACCTTGCGTACGCTTACCAAACCAATTTAGTCTCTATGCAAGATGCCCCCTGCACCTTACAGACTATACAAAAGAAAAGAATACCTTTTATTAAGATGGTCCTTGTCTGCTCCTGCAGTGATCCAAATGAATCAAGGGGTCCCTCCCGGAAAAGTTCCCGAGGGCCCTAGGGAGCCCTGTCCCGAGCGGGTCCTGCAGCCGAGCAGAGTAGTCCCATCTGGGGTGCCAAATTGATTTGGAGAAAACTCCAGGAACAAACTCGCCAACAAAGTTTTCAAGCTGACAAGCAGGTATTCTTTATTGCAGTGCCGGGAGACACAGGGGATAGCTCATCCTAATGTGTATCAATGTATTGCTACACAAGCTGTCCTTGTATAGTCTCTGGTCATACATACATATTCATGAGGCTACGTATGAATTACATCATTTTCCAGAAAGTTTCCCACATGTGTACACAAATGTGGCAGTGGTCTCTGAGGGTCGTTTATTTCTTCCAACAATCCTCATAAATTCTGGCAGCCTTTGTAGCACCAGCTTCATTAACATTACAGACATAGCAATCATCCTGTCTTTCTACTTATCAGTTAGTTTAACTGCACCTATCCTGGACCTCTGCTGGTCCCAGACACTCAGGTCCTGTTTTTCTTACATTTTCTGTACTAAGATAAGGACCTAGAACTATGTCAACTGCAGTGGTTTCTCTTCAAGCACCTCAGTTATTTTCACTACAAAGCCATCAAACTTAACGTTACTTAGAACTGATTACATTCTATGCTTTTGTGCCTCCTTGTCTCACCACACAGTTGGGTGCCTTGGTTTTTTAACCTCCATCTCCTTTAGTTGAAGCTGTTCAGGCTGGAGTTCTTTGAGAAGCCAAATCTATCTTCCGGCTATCAGCCTGAAATGCCAAATGGCCTGTGTCCTGCCTGCAGGCAGCAGTGACATTCCTAGGGGGCCACGGGAATTGCAATGAGACAGATGTAACACAGCAAAGGAAAAGGAAAATTAAGACCTGTAATCATGGAGAAAACGGGTGAGAGCCAGAGGAGACAGACAAAAAGGGTGGAAGTGGTATCCTTCTGTGAATAATGAGTTGGGTCATTACTGTGTAGGTGTGAATAGAATAGTGTTGGAAAGCAGTTGCTGCTCTCCCCCATCCTGAATCTTGTTGCTTTAAAGAATGGTCATTTTACAGTAAATAAGCTGTGATAACCCCAAAGCCTTTTCCTCCGTCTCTGTGCCAGAGGAAGCTAAGTTTATCCCAAGCATTTCCAAAACCACATAGCATTTGAAGGCACAGTAATTTATGGGGTCACAAATTTTAAATAAAAGCCATTTAGAGCTTCAGTCCATTTCCACCTTATTTTCTTATTTTTGCATTCTCTAAAACAAAAAGTCTGTCTCAAGCCTACACATTTTAACAGCCTGACAGTTCTTTCCTGCAGATTTTGTAGCTTTCAGCGATTATGCCCACATAGATTATACTTTTCAGCTACAGATAAACATTGTCGAAATAAACTTCCTCAGAAAATGCAGTATCACTTGGCCAGACAAGATCTTCAGAAAACTGCTTGAAATTATTTGCCAGAAAACTTATTTTCATGTGTTTTAGAGAAAATGTTCCCACAAATAACAGATTCCTCAGTTACTATAGTTTTGGGCCTCTGATTTCTTCCTGTACTTGATAAAAATTGTGTCTCTTGCCCTAAGATAAAAATTGTTCTCAATTCAACACCACTTCCCTTTAACTTTGCTTGAATGACATGTTGGGGTTATCAAAGTAGGGGCTAGATGTCAGGCTCTCCTCAATTTAAGCAGCTGTAAAGGATGGAGAACTTGTACCACAGAACTACTTGCACCATAGAACCTGAAGGTTGAAGTTTAGGAATAGATATTTGCTTTGTCAGCATCTGTTCCTGTGTACATCTCAGAGTCTAGTCTGATATTTTAGACAGCCTCACTTTCTGAAACACAGCATAGAAGAAAATCTTAAAACCTGGTCTTTTTTACATGAAGGAATTTTACATGATTGCATGCCTTTCTCATTTTGAATTAAGACACAAATTTTCTGTCATTTATTAAAACGAAGAGCCACAAAACCAGCTAAAGAGAGCAGCATCCCCCTCAGATGTCCAAGGCACACTGTTTGTTCCTGCTCTTGTACTAATTTCCCATGCTAATCAGCAATTAAAGAGAAGACCGATTAGCTTACTATTTTTCCTTCCTTTCCAGCCGTGCCAGAGATGGAGCTGGCAAAAGTCCCTGGTTGAGAGGAATAGAAAATATAGAAAATAGAAAAACAAGACTTGTGCCTCAAGTCTTGATTTGCTCCCTTAAATTTCACTAACTGCCAATGCACAATCAATATGCAGCAAATATGAAGGTTGCCAGAGAAGGACAACACAGCTTTATGAGTAAACACTTATCTTCTAGCTTCAGAATCTTGTGACTTCTATTTCAACATGAACATGGATTTATTTCACATTCACATGGACATGTTTTGCAGTTCTGCCCAGCAACCAGGAGTATGTAGGAACGAGTGCTCTTCACCCTGTTTATTTTGATCAGTATGGGTAGGGTCCAACCCACAAAGAAGCACACAGGAGGATTTTTGTCTCTGATATTAGCAGTATTAGGAATTATACTTCCTTATACGCCCAGAAACTTAACCAGACAAAGAAAAATGTGATCAAGGAGTGCCCAAAGCTGTAAGACCACAGAACAGAGCAAAGCTGATGGCAGGCCTTGACCAGGATTTTTGCTCTCGGTATGAGAATATAGTCATTCATACAGACTGGATTCACTCTCCTTACAACTAAAAGGGACAGGATGGTGCCACACATTACTTTTATAGAATCATAGAATGTTTTGGGTTGGAAGGGACCTTAAAGACCATCCAGTTCCAAATCCTCTGCCATGGGCAGGGACACGTACTCCTAGACCAGGTCGCTCAAAGCCCTGTCCAACCTGTCCTTGAACACTTCCAGTGACAGGGCAGGCACAACTTCTCTGGGCAAACTATGCCAGTGTCTAATCACCCTCATGGTGAAGAATTTCTTCCTAGTATCTAATCTAAACCTATCCTCTTTCAATTTAAAGCCATTCCCCCTTGTTCTACCACTGCATGCCCTGATCAAAAGCCTCTCTCCAACTTTCTTGTAGGCTGCCTTTAGACATTGGAAAACTGCTTTATGGTGTTCCTGGAGCCTTCTATATTCAAATACTATTTCAAATAAGGATAGAAGTGTGTCAAACTGCTTGGTTTTTTTTTCTTGAATAAATAATGCATAGATCTAATTTGAAAACACAAGTACTTTTATTTGGCATATTTAATAAAATTCTTTTGCATACTTTCCTAAAAGGTTAGCATGGGAAACTGCAAAGACTGTCTATGGGAAAACTGCTTTTACTTCAGATATTCTGTGTTTTAACCTTCTCACCCCAATTTCAGAATTCATCTTTTCAGTTTGTTTGTTCTGCTTTCTCGGCCATTCACAGCCCCACCCTAGTAAGGAGAAAAGGGGGCAGGGTGCACTTTCCACAGCTTTCTCCATGTGCAAACCAACATAACCAACAAAATACAAAAAGTTATCAGCGTCTCTCTTCTGCTTTTTCCTATAAGCAGCAAGGAGCAACAAAAGGGAGATAACTTCAGGCACCCCATGAAAAATATTCTAAAAATAGCAAATACACCTCTTTTCATTCAGTTGTTTCAGTCTGTAAAATCCAAAGTGACTATTAAAATATATCCATCAGAATATTTCTCCTATTTCAATGTATTTCTTATATATATGTATTTCAATCAGGAAGAGTTATGGCTACAGGCTGTACTTGGAAACTTGGCCTTCAGAGGAAGCCCTACTAACTAGAACCTG